ATAAAAAGGGAAATGTCACACACAATTTGAAATGCTAGAAAAAGAATAAATTAGATCCAAAATAAGCAGAAGGGAATTATTAAGAACAAAAGCAAGATGTAGGGGTGCCTGCGTGGCTCAGTTGGTTGGATGTCCAACTTCTGTGCTGACAGCTCAGAGCCTAGAGCCTGCTTCAGATTCTATGTCTCCCTCTCTCTCTGCCCCTTCCCCACTCACACTCTCTCAGAAATAAACATTAAAAAAAGAAAAAAATGTTTTAAAGAGATGTAAATGAAATTAGAAAAACATGATCATCATGAACAACACCACAGGAGAGCTGACCAATAACATCAAGCTTTGAAAAAGCCATTAAAACAGACAAATTTCTGGTAAGTATATCCAAGAAAAAGAAAGAAGATACAGCTTTTCTTTAAAAAAAAAAAAAGAAAAATTGGGGCGCCTGGGTGGCGCAGTCGGTTAAGCGTCCGACTTCAGCCAGGTCACGATCTCGCGGTCCGTGAGTTCGAGCCCCGCGTCAGGCTCTGGGCTGATGGCTCAGAGCCTGGAGCCTGTTTCCGATTCTGTGTCTCCCTCTCTCTCTGCCCCTCCCCCCGTTCATGCTCTGTCTCTCTCTGTCCCAAAAATAAACGTTGAAAAAAAAAATTTAAAAAAAAAAAAAAAAAGAAAAATCAAAGATAAGAGTATGTAACCAGAGACTACGTGAGTGTACAATTTCATATTAAGTTTAAAATGTACACCAGAAAATTAGCAAGAAAAAATAGAGTACAAAAAGTGGCTCAAAATAAGATCAAAACACAAATCAAAAGCACTGAAAATTTTTTATTTTTTATTTATTTTTTTTTTTTTTAATTTTTTTTTTCAACGTTTATTTATTTTTGGGACAGAGAGAGACAGAGCATGAACGGGGGAGGGGCAGAGAGAGAGGGAGAACACAGAATCGGAAACAGGCTCCAGGCTCTGAGCCATCAGCCCAGAGCCCGACGCGGGGCTCGAACTCACGGACCGCGAGATCGTGACCTGGCTGAAGTCGGACGCTCAACCGACTGCGCCACCCAGGCGCCCCTGAAAATTTTTTAAAAAGATGTGAAAGATCTTTCACCCAAACAAGAACAAAAAAGCACCAGGCCTTAATGGTTTCCAGGCAAACCTTTAAGAGCTTCTAGATTACAGAAAAATCTAAAAAGATTCCTAAGTCATTCTAACCTCATATCAAAACTAGAAAAGAGGGGCACCTGGGTGACTCAGTCAGTTGAGCATCCCACTCTTGATTTTGGCTCAGGTCATGATCTCAGTTCGTGGGATTGAGCCCCATGTTGGACTCTGCAATGAGTGTGGAGCCTGCTTAAGATTTTCTTTCTCTTTCTCTCTCTCCCCCCCCCCCACTCCCCACATTCTCTCTGGAAAAAAATAAACTAGAAAAGAAACATCTCAGAACAAAATGCATTAAATTACTAAACAATGTCCAGTTGTGCAGTAAGAGTAATTAACCATAGTCAACAGATATTCTTCTCAGGAATGCAAAAAGATGGTTTTCACGTTAGATTCCAAAAATAACAACAATACTTAGCGACAAATCTTAGTACTAAATATGTACAATAGCTATTAAAATAGTGTACTGAAAATCAGAGCAGCGGAAAGATTCCTGTTCCAGGAAAAAACACTGAGTATTATTAAAATGTCAATTCTCCAAGTTAACCTAACAACGTCAATGCAATTCTAATGAGAACACTATGGCTGACTCCCCAGCAGCCATTCCACCTCAGTCCCAGGCAGGGACAGTCCTGAATTTTTTTTACACCTACAAAAATTCCATTCCCAATGACAAGCCTGACCCAAACTGGCACAGGTCATGAAAAGTCTGTCCCTGGCACCTATAAGAAAAGTTTCTTCACTCAAGAAAGCAATAGTGCTAAATAGGATTGAAGCAAGGAGATTAGGTTCCTATTTTCCGACCTGTAGTGCCATTTTTTTTTAAATGTTTATTTTGAGAGAGAGCAAGAACGAGAGTGGGCATATGCTCAGGCAAGCAAGCAGGGGAGGGGCAGAGAAAGAAAAGAGAGAAAGAGAATTCCAAGCAGGCCCCGCACTGTCAGCGCAGAGCCCAACTTGAGCTCATGAACGGTGAGATCATGATCTGAGCCAAAATCAAGAGCCGTAGGCTTAACCAACTGAGCCACCCAGGCACCCTGTGCCATTCTTTTAACCATCAACTTTAGGAAGCCACCAACCTGTAATTACCACAGACACAGCACTCCACCAACAAACATATCACATCAATAGGATTAGAATCTTGAAGTCTGGGTGGCTCAGTGGTTACGAGTCAGACTCTTGATTTCAGCTTAGGTCATGATCTCACAGTTCATGGGTTCGAGCCTGGCATAACGCTCTGTGCTGGGAGCGTGGAGCGCCTGCTTGGGATTCTCTCTCTCCCTCTCTCTGCCCCTCCCCTGCTCTCCCTCTCTCTCTCAAAATAAATAAACTTTTTTTTTTAATAGGACTGGAATCCGAAGGTCTGGACAAACCTAAGACCAATGGAAGATTTTATAACGCTTAAAGCAAATTAAGCTTTACTCCCATTTCCTTAGATTAAAAAATTTAACCATTAACATATAGCTATTATGTGTTAAATGATTATCTATTAACAGTCAAGCACTCTATTAGGCACTTGACTGCATAAATTTATTTAATGTTTGCAATGATCATATAAGGCAAGTACTATAATCATCCCACTTTACAGATTAAGAAACTGAAGTGCACAAGAGTCCAAGGTCACAATCAAGAAAAGGCATAGGTAGGGACTCAAACCCAGATTTCCTAAATCCTTTCACAAGCATTTTCAACAAGTGTTTATACAAACCTAAGAGCACAAAACACACACCCTTGAGTTAATAAGAAAATAAAATTAGGAGTTTAATAAAAATCACATACTTTAAAAAATTAGGAGGATCAACAATATATAAAGAAAAATAAGGAGTCTTAGGCAGAGCTCAGTTCATATGCTTGTTACAGACTTTAACGGTTTCTGGATTTTTCTCTGTACTACTCATCAAACGATTTACGTACCCAAGAACTGAGAAACACTGAGAAGCACAGGAGGTCCATTAGACACATGTTCTCTGATAATGGCTGAGAGAATTATGCCAGGCCATATAACTGTTATTTCAAAACATTCAACTGCCCAAAGGGATTAGATTCCCATCACTGACTGCAGACTGCCTCATATACTATAACATAATGAATACTGGAATAAAGCTTTCTAATCCTTGTTCAAAACACTGTTTCTGGTGGGAAAAGGAACTTCTGCTATACCATCACAGTCTTCATATCTCACCAACAGAATACTTATTCATCACTTCCAATTACTGAATTATTCCATTAATTTTCACAGATATTTTAGTCTGTTTGCAACCCTTCACATATATCCTGGTATTAAGGCCTCCAAGGCACTCAGTCTAGACAATCTACACTTGACTTAGAATTTAAACTCTGCCTCACAGGTTATTTATGTAAAACCATCTGTAGCACCACGTCTGTCTCATAATAGGTCTCAACAACTGAAAGGCTTTCAAATGGGAAATAAATGGTGTATAAGAATGGTGTATAAGAATGTGCTTTCCAATACTATGAACCACATCTTTACCAGACCAATGTGGTTAAGATATTGCAAACCCAAATCTCTGGGCCGATCTAGACAGCAATCCTTGGCATCAATTAAAAGGCCTACTTTAATAATATTCTTGGGGCGCCTGGGTGGCTCAGTCGGTTGGGTGTCCGACTTCGGCTCAGGTCATGATCTCGCAGTCCGTGAGTTCGAGCCCCGCATCGGGCTCTGTGCTGACAGCTCAGAGCCTGGAGCCTGTTTCAGATTCTGTGTCTCCCTCTCTCTCTGACCCTCCCCCGTTCATGCTCTGTCCCTCTGTCTGAAAAATAAACGTAAAAAAAAAAAATTTTTTTTAATTAAAAAAAATAATATTCTTATTCTCAAAATAGTTTTAACTTGGGGACTAGATGCCTATATAATATTATATATTATCAAACCAGTAGACTCAATAATAAATTCTACATTTTGGAAATATAGACCGACAAAACCTAATAAACTACTAGAAAACTAAAGATGGCTTCCACTTTTAGAAAGCAAACTTTAAGCTGTTATTTAGAAGAGAAGTTTTCACATGCTGGTCAGTCTCGCTGACATACACTGAGAAAGAACATAATAAACTGAGAATGAACAGTGCCTGAAGATAAAAATATCCCAAGGTATGAACCTGAAAAAACATTCACCAGGTTATAAATTTAAGCCTAAGAAACATCACTGTTCTTCTAAATGACCAAAATAACTATTCTTTTCTGCTTGATAAAGTCCTAACAGCCTACAGTCTATTGCCTTGTTCCTTCTCTCTCCTTTTAACATGTGTTTAAGCAAAAGATTTTTTTAATGTTTATTTTGAGAGGGGGGGGAAGGGGAGGGGGAGGGGGAGAGGGAGAGGGAGAGAGAGAGAGAGAGACAGAGAGAGAAATCATTTGCGCACATGCAGGGGAGGGGAGGGAGGGACAGAGGATCCCAAGCAGGCTCTGCACTGATGGGGGGCTCAAACTCAGGAACCATGAGCTCATGATCTGAACCAAAGCTGGACACTTAACCAACTGAGCCACCTAGGAGCCCCTAAAAGATTTTTTTTTTTTAAGTTTACTTATTTCTTTTGAAAGAAAGAGATCACTAGCGAGGGAGGGGCACTATGAGTGCAGAGCCCAATGCAGGGCTCAAACTCATGAACCAAACCGTGAGATCATGACCTGAGCTGAAATCAAGAGTCAGGCAATTGGGGCTCCTGGGTGGCTCAGCTGGTTAAGCGTCCAACTTCAGCTCAGACCATGATCTCACAGTTCGTGGGTTTGAGCCCCGCATTAGGCTCTGTGCTGACAGCTCACAGCCTGGAGCCTGCTTCACATTCTGTCTCTCCATCTCTCTCTGCCCCTTCCCCACTCACACTCTATCTCTGTCTCTCTCTCAAAAATAAATAAAAACAATTAAAAAAAAAAAAAAGAGTCGGGTGATTGACTGAGCCACGCAGGTGTCCCAAAAGATTTTTAATAGCATACATCACTTCTCCTTTATGGTACCCCCTAGATAAAAAAGGGTAGGGAGGGGCGCCTGGGTGGCGCAGTCGGTTAAGCGTCCGACTTCAGCCAGGTCACGATCTTCCGGTCCGTGAGTTTGAGCCCCACGTCAGGCTCTGGGCTGACGGCTCAGAGCCTGGAGCCTGTTTCTGATTCTGTGTCTCCCTCTCTCTCTGCCCCTCCCCCGTTCATGCTCTGTCTCTCTCTGTCCCAAAAATAAATAAAAAACGTTGAAAAAAAATTTAAAAAAAAAAAGGGTAGGGATGCTAACACTGTTTGAACCATCATATTACCTAAATACACATGGCCCCTAAAATAACATACTGTACCATTTTACACAGCTGCATACTTGGATTATTTTTAGGCCCTGCTTAATGCTTCACATTCTTTGAACAACCAAAGTGAAGGACCATGTTTACTTTGATCTCATTTAGACTTAAAGTTGATAAAAAGGTTAAAAAGCATCCTCTCCCATTCTGTACCTCAAACATAGGCTACGAAGCAACAGAAATCTTTTTACTGAGCTCCTAATGGGCAGTCTTCCCTAATTCCCTAACTGAAGATGAAACACTGCACCTAATAAGGGGCAGTCTCCCAGGGCCCCAGCACCAATTCCTTTCTGCCAACACTGATGCTCCCCAAAAGCCAAGGAAAAGCAACCATTTGCTAAGCTGGCATTATCAAGCTACAAAAACTTTTTTTTTTTTAAAGAGTTTTAAGTTTATTTTTTTAGTAATCTCAACACCCAATGTGGGTCTCAAACTCACAACCCCAAGATAAGAGTCGCATGTTCTACCAACTGAGCCAGCCAGGGACCCCTAAAAGCTTTTTCTAAATCAATGGAAATTAAGGATATTCCACAACTAACAGGAGTCGAAAATCAACGTGTCCCAAAGATCTCCCTGGAGTGCTACAACATGCTTCATGCTTTGAAGTCACCTTCAAAAATCCAGCTCATCCACCAGCCACATGGGATACTCCCATCCCAGGTTCCACACCTCTAACACATCTGCTGCACATCTGGGACCCTTGATTAAAATGCATGTTCTCTTGTGACATGCCTGTATACATTTGTCAAAGTATACATTTTGCTGTATGTAATTATGCCTCAGTAAAACTTTTTAAAAATTAACAGATGCATTAAAAAAGCAGGAGGGGCGCGCCTGGGTGGCTCAGTTGGTTAAGCAATCAACTTCGACTGAGGTCTTGATCTCACGGTGAGTTAGAGCTTCACACTGGGATCTCTGCTGTCACCATGGAGCCTGCTTCAGATCCTCTGTCCCCTTCTCTCTGCCCCTCCCCCACTCATGCTCTGTCTCAAATAGAAATAAACATTAAAAAAAATTAACAGGTGCATGTTCTTAGACTTGTTTGCAGACCTGAATGGGTTTTTGGTGGTTTTTTTTAAGCTTCTAAGTAATTCCATGTAAGAACCACTGCTCTGGGTTACGCTGCATGTACCTTCCCCCACTCAAAAATAGGGAAAGTCAAGAACACTGGGTCTGAAAGTCAGACACCTAATCACACAGATCCATTATTAACTCACTACATGCCCGTGGACAAAGGAAAAATTTCACTGACAGTTTCCTCTTCTGGAAACTAGGGATAAAAAATACCTACCACATAGGGTAACTGTGAGACTTCAATGATAGGTTTTTAACATATTTGACACAATGTCTAACACAAGTAAGCAGTACATTACCATCATTAGCATCTTTGTTTCCATTTTTTTTTTTGACGTTTATTTATTTTTGAGAAACAGACCAGGAGTGGGAGAGGGGCAGAGAGAGAGGGAGACACAGAATCTGAAGCAGCCTCCAGGCTCCGAGCTGTCAGCACAGAGCCTGACGCGGGGCTCAAACCCACAAACCGTGAGATCATGACCTGAGCCGAAGTCGGACACTTAACTGACTGAGCCACCCAGTCACCCCTGGTTTCCATCATTTTAAATCAATCTTTACTTGGTATTTCTCTGTCCTGTGAGACATACTCTACCTAATCTAAAACTTTTAAAGAACTTCTTACACACAGACATGCCTAGCCTCATCCCTAATGCCTAAGTCTGGGATGGGAACAGGTTTGAGAATTACACTGTTCTAGGGAACATGTGTGGCAGAACATGACTATGACCAGGGTCCATAAGAATTCCTAAGATAAACTGAATAGCTCCTTCTAGTTTCAAATGACATCTAGTCTCCTACCTTTAGACAAGTAGTTTAAGGACATCAGAATGAAGCTCTCTAACCTCCAAAGAAAGATAGCACCACCCTATACCCAACTTTACCAAAAATAAATACGGAGATTTATTTAGTCTTTACTGAATTCTCTCAGAGGTGAAACCATTCTTGGAGGGTTCAGAAATCAAGAGGCTGCCTCTCCATCTAACAGGTGCACCCCCGGACAGTAACAGAAAAAACAAATGGAAGAAAGAAATAACCTTTTTGGCAGGTCTCATTACCTGAGAGATGGCTTTTCATGATTCATCAGAGAAAGCAATAAAGGCAACCATGACAAACATCAGACATAAAAACAAAAATAAATATATAAATAAATATGTAAATATATAAATAAATCCGACATGAATATCTGTCTTGGTTCCTTAAAAGATATCTCAGGGACGCCTGGGTGGCTCAGTCGGTTAAGCATCTAATTCTTTTTTTTTTTTTTTTTAATTTTTTTTTTTGTTGTTGTTTATTTTTGAAAGAGAGAGAGTGAGTGGTAGAAATGCAGAGAGAGAGGAAGACACAGAATATGAAGCACGCTCCAGGCTCAGAGTTGTTAGCACCACATTCCACGCAGGCTCGAACCCACAGGCCATGAGATCATGACCTGAGCCAAAGTCAGACATTTAACCGACTGAACCACCCAGGTGCCCCTAGCATCCAATTCTTGATTTCAGCTCAGTTCATGATCTCCACGGTCTTAGCATGGAGCCTGCTTGAGATTCTCTCTCCCCTCTCTCCGGCTTGCAGGTGCACTCTCTCTCTAAAAATAAAAAAAATAAAAAGACATCTCAAAACCACCTTACATACCACCCCCACCCCCCCAATACAATCTAAACCAGAGTTTTCCACAGGTGTCTCTGAGCAGCTGTATGTAAATGATATGAGGAATTTGTTAAAATGCAGCTTCTTAGAACCCTCCCCAGACTCTGATTCAAAAAGATGGAGTTGGACCCAAGGAATCTGCATTTTTAACTCCCAAGGTCATTTTTATGCTCAAAATTTGGAAGTACTTCCACAGTAGCTAGAAATTTTCACCTCAAGTAAGTCTTGAACACAAAAGATAGTGATTATGCTTAGCTTTAGAGCAATGTAGAAACAGCTAATAGAATAGACACAATTCAATAAAGCACAGTGGTTGAGAGGATGTATGGAGCTGGCTTCCTGAATTTACATTTCTATCCCACTACTCACAAGCCATTTGACAGGGGGCAAATGTACCCCCGTTTTCTCATCTGTAAAATGGAATCAACAAGTTATGAGTACTAATGAGTTATTAAAGCTCTCAGTAGAGTGCCTGACCTCCGCAAACACCCAAAACACAATACTTATTTAGAAAGTGGGTGATGGGCATTGAGGAGGGCATCTGTTGGGATGAGCCCTGAGTGTTGAACAGAAACCGATGTGACAATAAATTATATTTAATATAAAAAAAGTACTTATTTAGAATTCTTATGGTCAATGGCTAAAAGACAGCTGGCTAGAGGGCTGTGAATCTCTGAAATTTACAACCATCTCTAATGATGTAGTACAAAACCATTGACGTTTTGCATTGCTTAAAAATCAGGTGCTTCTCAAATAAAACACAAACCAGGTAACTGGTTCTAAACGTGGTATCGATTGAGAGCAGTTAATCTGTTTTCCAAATTTCTTTCAAGACAGGAAAAGACAAAATAATTCAGACTCCCAAATTCTTCACAGCAAAACAGGGCTACATTTAACATTTAATCATCCAAATCATGTAAGATAAAGTACAGCAACCTGGTGGCTGGCTGAGGTACAAGACCATCCAATAAAGACCTCACTCTCATAACCTGCATTTAAAACAGGCTGATTTCCTGAAAGAGGAATTTGGCAACAAGACAAAAATCTAACCATATGTAAAATGTCACTAAATGATAAAGCTTATATTAGAGTATTAAGACAGTGGATACTTTCAACAGTAGCAATAGCTACTAGACTGAGGATGCTAACTGAAGACCTTTAAAGGGGTGAAAATGTATGGACTAGAACACAACGCAGGAAAAGAAGAAGCCTGATAAGAAAATGGAGAAACCGATTCTCCAGAAAGAGCATGTGCAACTGCCAAGGCGAGATTCCCTCAAAATAAAAAGCCTTAATGCCCAGAATGCTACAGATCTGAATCGTGAGTATCAGCAAATAGATGCAAAGAAAATAGAGATATCTGGGTGAGAGATGGCCCGAATTCTCACGGGAAGAAAAGCAGCCAAAGCTTAAGTGCACAGAACACGGAATCCAGTTTTAGGCCTGCAGCAACTCAAGGGCTAGTTAACCATTTTCCAGGAAGGCCGAAATCTCCAGATTAAAGGGATTTAACGTCTTGGACACCGCTCTTTGGGACCCACGGAAAACAGACACGGGGGATTCAAAGGATTTAGGGGGAAAGGAGGCGGTGGAAATGAGTCAAAAGAAGCCTTCTCGACAATAAAATCATGTGACTCTCGGGCAAAGAATGCCCAAGGAGCTAAGGAGAGGAAGAAAGGGTCCTGAGTTAAAGACGCTCCACTTCCACCACCGTCAAGGGCGGACCACTGCGCCCGAGGTCTGGGCGGGGGCCGGACCCTAATGCCCCAAACTTGGACCTGAGGCCTCCAGCCGGGACTCAGCCCGTGCACCAACCTAGGACCACCGTGCGGGGGCACTGTCCCCACACTAGCGCGCGGGAAAAACGGCGGCCGCGCCGGAAGGGGGCAGGGCGAGCCGCGAGGACGACCCCCCGGGCACTTACGCTGCCGCTTCTTCCTGAGGCTTTCCACGCGCTGGCGGGAGGCCGAGGGAGCGCCGCTGTAGGAGCCGGGCCGGTTTCGCCTAATGCCCTCTGCCGAAGCCGAGGCAGAGGACCCGACTGGGGGCTCCGACGCGCTACTCGCCCGGCGCCGCAGCAGCTCCCGCCGCCGCCCATCAGGCCCTTCGGGCGCCGGCTCCCCCGCCGAGGCGGAGGTGTCGGCCGCTCTGCCGTGGCGCTCCATGGGCACGCCGAGCCGGCCCGCTCCCATCCGCAGCAGCCGCCGCTGCCGCCCAAGCCAGCCCCCCAGCGCCGAAACCCTTGTCGCCTCCTCCGCGGCAGTCCAGCCCAAGCAGAGGCGCCCCCTCCACCGTCCGCCTCTTCCGTTGCGCCAACGCGCAGCAAGCCAATCCAAATAGGCTGGGGGCGGCCCGAAGGCCTCGCGTCCAATCGCCTCCCTCACTCGAGGCGGATCGACCGCGCGTCCGTCCAATGAAAGGCTCCCAGGACGGGGCGGGGCGGAGAGTGGCGGGGGAGGGGATCGAAGCTTGGCCGCGAAGAAGGCGGTGTTGCCGAGGGGAGAGTGATGGCGGCGCCGCCCAATGGACGTGTGGGTGGAGGGGCCGGCTCACCCGCCCGCCCTGGCGGACAGGTCAGGGGGCCCTGCCCCTGAGTCCCGCCTCGCTGCTGCATCCCTCTCCCCCTGCCCATGCCCTCCGCCAGCCCAGAAGTGTGCCCCCAGCGTCTGGCCTCTAGTCATTGGCAGACCGAAGGGCTTGAACCACGGCTGATTTAGCCTTTGTCCCTTGGCCTGGTTCTGCCACTGCCGTCGAGACCACCAGCCCCTCCGCGCTTTTTTACCCTCTCCCCCAGCACTGCCACTGGCGTGGTTGGGCTAAGCCCCCTCCATTCCGCCTGCGTTGGAGAAACGTACCCGGTACCAGAAGGAAAGAAAGGTCTGGGGCTGGTCTCCATGGCAACTGGAAGAAAGAGGTGGGTTATAAATCCTACGCCACCCTTCAGTGCTGAAGGAGGGGGTGTGGGAGCCGGGGAGTAGGGTTTGCGTTTTGAAGGACAGTGTGGATTCCTTTTCCGTGCGGTGCACTAGGGGGACACAGAAGGATTTGGTGGCTGCCTTGGAACCTGGGTTGTAAGGGGTGTGTGTGTGCGCGCGCGCGAGCGTTAATCATCTTATTCCCTTTTGGGGGGCGAGACCACAGTCACCTCCAGCCCTGAGATACTGACCATTCACACCTCTACCTAAGGCCCTGCCACCCATCCCTTCTCCAAAGGTTATGCAAGCCTGGAATGACCCCACCTTGCTCTGTACCCTCAAGGGCACTCCCTCAGTCCGTCAAGTTTAACAGTACTATTAGTTTTTCTTGCTAATTATTCCTAAGTGCCTCTCCGGGGACACTGTAATGTCCCTTGGGTGACAGACCTCATTTTTTTTACCTTTGCTGTAATAACTGCTAGTAGCCCGCAAAACGAGAAAGATAAGCTTCTCTCTTGCTTGTTGAGTAGAATTAGCCAGGCTCACTCCAAACTAGTTCCCCCTCATTGTAGGAATAACCTTGGAAACCCTGTATCCAAACTCTGGAAATCCCAGCTCCTGCAAGAACCCATCCCAGATGGATCCTACAAGAACTAAGAACACCTGTAGCTAGCCTTCAAAATCCCAGTCCCCAGTATTGCTTATCTTTCTGCCTACACCTCACCAATCTGGTCGTCCTTGACCTGAGGGAGCTTTCCTCCAAGCCTGTTGAGCTGTGATAGATCATCCTGAAGAATCAAGAATCATCACCTAAGGCTGCCAAGATGAACTCCAATATCCAAATGACACCGAAAATAGGTGTAGGGGTTTTTTTGGGTGTGTGTGTGTGTGTGTGTGTGTGTGTGTGTGTGTGTGTGTGTGTGTTTTGCAGTGTACGTAATGCCCTTACATGTCATTTCATCTAGCAACACTTGGATAATGAGGCAAATTAACCAGAGGCACACAGCTTAAATGATAGAGCCTGGATTCCTGAGAAGTTCAGCTACCCTCTGCGTTACAGTTACCAAAAGGCACAGATTCAGTAAAATTCCAATAAATTAGTGGAAGGCTTTTTGTCATCTTAAATAAATATGTTTCTTCATTCCCTGGTGTAAGCTTACAGTGTGTGGCTATCATTAAAGTTTATCCAAAATAACAGGTGAAGCATATACTAATGACAATTAGGCAAGATGTTTATAATCCTAAAAGTAAAAATGCAAATAAACTGAACAAAAGAAACCAGACACTAAAGAATGCATACCATATGATTTACATGAAGTTCAACGTTAATAAATGATGTGAGAAGTCAGGATAATGGTGTTTGGGGGTGGGGGGAAGGGAAGAGAGTAGGCATGAGAGGGCAACAGATTAGACTTCTGTAAGGCTGGCAAGGTTCAATTTCTTTGGTCTAGGTGATGGTACGTGGGTGTGTTCACTTTGCAATATTTCATCAAGATGTTCACTTGTGCACTTTTCTCTATGTGTGTTATACTTAAATATGGCATTTATTTTTTTAAAAATTGAAGATTTGTCCTGGACCAAGGAAGCCCATGATTAAGCTTACATTTTTTTTTTTTTCCAAAAAAAGTCAAATGAAAGTAACAAGAGGTTTCCTTTTTGGGGCACCTGGGTGGCTGAGTCGGTTAAGCGTCCAACTTTAGCTCAGGCCATGATCTCACCGTCTGTGGGTTCGAACACCAAGTCAGGCTCTATGCTGACAGCTGAGAGCCTGGAGCCTGCTTTGGATTCTGTGTCTCCCCCTCTCTCTCTGCCCCTCCCATGCTCGCACTCTGTCTCTCAAAAAATAAAATTAAAAAACGTTTAAAATTAAAAAAAAAAAAAGGTTTCCTTTCTCTGCGGTTATTATAACACACAGCATCATTTAGAGGGACAGAATCATGAAGTTTTTTACCATTTGTCTCAGTTACTTTACCCTTGGGGAGAAACCAGTTTTCTGGTATACACATCAGAATAAGCACAGAGGTCATAGTAAGCATAGTGCTTCAGAGGAACTAATCAAATTCTAAAGTAGTGATTTGCCATTGATAGAGCCATTAATGATAGAGCCATTTCAGTGACAAAACATCATATAGAATACACATCTACCATATTAGGTGCCTACTGCTAGTTCAGAAATAACCCCAAAACTTAGTGGCTGATAACAGTAATGAATATATGTTATCTCAGTTTTTGTAGGTCAAGCATTTGGGAGTGATTTACCTGGGTGGTTCTGGCTCCGGGCCTTTCATGAAGTTGCAGTCAGTTGAGGGCATATGGGCTGGAGGGTGCCCTTCCAAGATGGGTTATTTACATGACTGGCAAGCTGGTACTAGCTGTTGGCAAGAGGCCTCAGCTCCCACAACATGGGCCTCTTCATAGGGTTGCTTGAATGTCCTCACAACATGACAGCTGGCTTCTCCCAAAACTAGTGATTCAAAGAAAAACATGCAGAAGTCACAGTATCTTTTAAGATCTAGCCTGGGAAGTCATACTTCCATCGTTTCTGCAACACCCTATTGCAATATCCAATATCCTGTTATTACACAGATCAGCCCTCTTGAAAGTGGGTTGATACTACACAAGGACACCAATACCAGGAAGAAGAGAGTCATTGGAGGCCATCTTAGGGCCCACAGTCTGCCCTCTGGATCCCAGGGGACGCGAGAAGCTTCACATTCTCATCTCTTACTGCTTCCTGAGAGCCAGGGGACAGACCCTCTCGGAGTTTCCCTTGAGGTCTCTTGCAGCTAAAGTAGGGCAACTGGGGAGTAAAAAAACCAGAAGTATGATCACCAGAGCGCCAAGCCACAGAAGTTTATAGATCAAGTTCTCTCTCCTTTCATTGGGCTGTATTAGTGCCAGGAAAATGAAAAGCATAGAATCAGGCCCCTGTCAAGCCCATGGTCTTTTTTTTCCAGAGTATAATGGTGAAAATTTGGGAAAACCTTGGCTATTATCTCTCCCAAAGGACAAAAATATGAAGAACATGAAGTTGTTAAGCCCCTAGACATTCTTCCAAGGCCTGGCCCCTGGCCCAGAATGCGCTATTGAAGAGGGATAGAGATGTGTGTTATATGTGCATGTGCACATTCACACACACACAATAGCTAGCATGTGGCATTCTAGTGGTCTCACCAGAGCTCACAGGCAATATGAATATTACCTGCTTTCAGAAATAAAGCTTAACTTGTCTCAGGAGAATAAAGATAGAAAATCGAAGATGAAATGTAATGAGTTTAGAACAACTCAGTTTCCTAGACATGGAAGATTCTATCCTTTCCCAAGTATTGAAAGGATTGAAAACTTTTTCTGTTTTCAACCTCAAGGCCTATCTTATCTCTCTTTAAAAATCTTTTTTTATTATTTATTTTTGAGAGAGAGCATGCGTGGCGGGGGGGGGGGGGGGTGCAGAGAGAGAGGGAGACACAGAATCCAAAGCAGGATCCAGGCTCCAAGTGGTCAGCACAGAGCCCGACATGGGGCTCGAACTCACAAACTTCAAGATCATGACCTGAGCCGAAGTCAGAAGCTTAACCAACTGAGCCATCCAGGTACCCCAAGGCCTATCTTATCTTCAACTAAATATCCCTGATTTGGATACTATTACCAGATAACAACTAATGGCTTAGGACTGTGCCCAAGTAAGTTTGGGAAATATAAGATAAACTTAAGTCATTTTCTTAAAGCTTTAATATTCTGAAGGGCATGATAAATCTCCAAGAGGAGGCTAAGGTATGTAGCTATCTTCCAAATGTAATTGACCATGGAACCCTTTTTTCACAGAATTTTTTCCTTAGACACACTGGGAAATTCATGTCTAGATATAAAAGCCACATCTCTGTTGTATTGTCTTGTACTGTGTTGTGTTTTGAAAGGGAGGGAGAGAAAGCGTGAGCAGAGGAGGGGCAGAGAGAGAGGAGAGAACGAGAATCCCAAGCAGGCTCTGCACGGCCAGCAAAGGAGCCTGAGTTAGGGCTCGAACTCACGAGATTATGATCTGAGCTGAAGTTGAGACCGTTAACCAACTGAGCCACCCAGGTGTCCCCACATCTCTGTTATATTAAAGGCAATGGAGATCTAGTTCTTTCCGTTTTGAGAGTTTGATGGCTGTTACTGTCTTTGTTCCCAAATAAACCTACAGTAGGTCCCCCCCCCCCCTTATCTATAGCTTCACTTTCTAGGGCTTCAGTTATTCGCAGTCAGCCACGGTCTTGAAGTAGATGATCCTTCTTCTGAAATACTGTCAGAGGGTCAATAGTAGCGAACTGCTATGTCACAATACCTACGTCATTCACCACAGTTCGTCACATCACGTTGGTATCGTATTATTTCACATCATCACAGGAAGAAGGGAGAGTACAGTACAGTAAGGTATTTTGAGGGGTACCTAGATGGTTCAGTTGGTGGAACGGTGACTCTTGATTTTGGCTCAGGTCATGATTCCAGGGTTGTGGGATTAAGACCCACATCGGGCTCCAGTGCTGAGCATGGAGCCTAAGACGCTCTCTTTCTCTCCCTGTGCCCCTCTCCCGCACTCGCTCTCTATAAGTTAATTAATTAATTTAAAAAAGAATATTTTGAGAGAAAGACCACATTCATATAACTTTTATCACAATAGACTATTGGGGCACCTGGGTGGCTCAGTAGGTTGAGAGACCAACTTTGGCTCAGGTCATGATCTCACGGGTTGTGAGTTCGAACCCCGTGTCGGGCTCTGTGCTGACAGCTCAGAGCCTGGAGCCTGCTTCGGATTCTGTGTCTCCCTCTTGCTCTCTGCCCCTCCCCTGTGCATGCTCTGTCTCGCTCTGTCTCAGAAATAAATAAACATTAAAAATTGTTTTTTTAAAATAGACTATTACAGGGGCGCCTGGGTGGCGCAGTCGGTTGAGCGTCCGACTTCAGCCGGGTCACGATCTCGCGGTCCGTGAGTTCGAGCCCCGCGTCGGGCTCTGGGCTGATGGCTCGGAGCCTGGAGCCTGTTTCCGATTCTGTGTCTCCCTCTCTCTCTGCCCCTCCCCCGTTCATGCTCTGTCTCTCTCTGTCCCAAAAATAAATAAACGTTGAAAAAAAAAATTTAAAATAGACTATTACAAAAAAAAAAAATAGACTATTACAATTGCTCTATTTTGTTTTTATTGTTATTAATTTCTTACTGTGCCTAATTTGAAAATGAAACTTTGTCATAGGTGTGTATGTACAGGAAAAACATTGTATATATAGGATTTGGCCACATTTTAAAAAGTAAAAATAAATGGGTAAAATTAATTTTATTAGTATATTTTATTTAACCCAATATATCTAAAACATTATTTTCTCATGTGGCAACATGTGGCCCTACATATTAAAAATGGTCAATAGGGGCACCTGGCTGGCTTAGTTGGAAGAACAGGCAATGCTTGATCTCTAGGTCATGAGTTCGAGCCCCACATTGGGTACAGAGATTACTAAAAAAAATAAACTGTCTTTTTAAGGATCTTTTTTTAATGTTTATTTATTTTTGAAAGAGAGAGAGAGAGTGAGCATGAGCGGGGAAGGGGCAGAGAGAGAGGGAGACACAGAATCTGAAGCAGGCTCCAGGCTCTGAGCTGTCAGCACAGAGCCCGACGCGGGGCTCAAACCCACGAACTGCGAGATCATGACTGGAACTGAAGTCAGACACTTAACAGACTGAGCCACCCAGATGCCCCCCAAAAATACTAACCTAAAAAAAAAGTGGTGAATTGCCACAAATGTCTAGTGGCTATCAAATTTTTTTTTTAACGTTTATTTATTTTTGAGACAGAGAGAGATAGAGCATGAACGGGGGAGGGGCAGAGAGGGAGGGAGACACAGAATCGGAAGCAGGCTCCAGGCTCTGAGCCATCAGCCCAGAGCCTGATGCGGGGCTCTAACTCACGGACTGTGAGATCATGACCCGAGCTGAAGTCGGACGCTTAAGCGACTGAGCCATCCAGGTGGCCCGTAAAAGCCCTACTCAGTAACAGTTCAGTTGCCTCCTAAACACTTGTTCTGCTTCTGGTTTATTTTCCAGGCCCACTGCTCCCAGGTTAATTGTACTAAACCACTGTTCTCATATAATCTCCTTTCTGTTTAAAAGGGTTTGATAGAGGCGCCTGGGTGGCTCAGTCTGTTGGGCGTCCGACTTCGGCTCAGGTCATGATCTCGCAGTCTGTGAGTTTGAACCCCACATCGGGCTCTGTGCTGACAGCTCAGAGCCTGGAGACTGTTTCAGAGTCTGTGTCTCCCTCTCTCTCTCTCTCTCTCTCTCTCTGCCCCTCCCCCGTTCATGCTCTGTCTCTCTCTGTCTCAAAAATAAATAAAATGTAAAAAAAAAAAATTTTTTTTTTTAATAAAAAAATAAAAAGGTTTGTTAGCTTCTTGGTCTACAGAACAAAGTCCACAACACTGAATATCTGAGACTCCTGGGTGGCTCAGTTGGTTAAGCGTCTGACCTCAGTTCAGGTCATGATTTCGCAGCTTATGGGTTCAAATCCCTGCTTGGGATTCTCTCTCTACCCCTCCCCCACTCGCACTTTTTCTCTATCAAAATAAACAAATAAACTTTAAAAAAAAAAATCCAAGAAGCCCCACATTTAACATCTTTCCACTTTTCCTCATTACTTCCCATATGCTTCTGTAGCATGTTCTAGCAAAATGAATCTCCTAGTTCTCCAGGCAGACTTGACTCTTACCCAGCTATAAGCCTCAATCTTCAACCCTACACAAACTTCCTTCCCACGACATTTCTGCTTATCAAAATCCAACCCAACTTCCATGGTTTAGCCCCAAAGATACCTCTTCCTTAAAGTCTTCACTAACTACCACAGTTAGGTAGGAACCTTCCAATCTTTTATAATATGTCACCTTTAATGACATGCATCACATACTTTTTTCACATCCTTGGTGTACATGTTTTATAATATCAACTAAATTACGAAAGCTCTTAGAATAAGAGTTTGCATCTTCATATTCCCCACAGTGCCTTTCACAGGCGCACACACACACACGCAATGTGTTAACAAATGATTACAGTGGCAATAACAATTTCAGGATCCTTTAAAATACTAAAATCTTTGCCACCTGTTTGTCAAAGTTAATGTTTGGTACCTGCCACCTCACAACCACTCCTTCTTCTCCCAGAAATCCCCCTACCCACCTATAGATTAGGCCCCAACGGCTCTGTTCATACTGCATAACACCACCAGCTTGGAATGGGGAGTCACTTCTCCAAGTGTGATGCCGCATCCCCCATGCAGGCAAAAGAACCGAGAAAGCTGGTCTGCAGAGAGACCCAAGAATGAACAGATGCACTGAGCAAAACAGGAAAACGAGAGTGCTTTTCCAGTTCTTCCAGGCCTGTCCATTTCCATCCTTTCCTGGGCTGATTACTTTCCTGTCTTTGGGTCCCTTCCTGTAACATGAAAATACATTTCTTGGTGTCCCTGGGGGGCTCAGTCAGTTAAGCGTCCAACTCTTTTTCTTTTTTTAATGTTCATTTATTTTTGAAAGAGAGAGACAGAGTATGAAGCAGGCTCCAGGCTCGAAGCTGTCAACATAGAGCCCAATGTGGGGCTCGAACTCACAGACCACGAGATCATGACCTGAGCTGAAGTCAGACGCTTAACTGAATGAGCCACCCAGACACCCCAGCATCTGACGCTTGATTCTAGCTCAGGTCATGATCTTGTGGTTTGTGAGTTCGAGCCCCCATAGTGGGCTCTGTGCTGATGTTACAGAGCCTGGTTGGGATTCTCTCTCTCCCCCTCTCTCTGCCCCTCCCCCACTCACACTGTCTCTGTCAAAATAAATAAACATTTAAATTTTAAAAAACATTTCATGGGGCGCCTGGGTGGCTCAGTCTGTTAAGTGTCTGACTTCAGTTCTGGTCACGATTTCGTGGTTCATGGGTTTGAGCCCTGCTTTGGGCTCTGTGCTGACAGCTCAGAGTCTGGAGCCTGCTTCGGATTCTGTGTCTCCCTCTCTCTCTGCCCCTCCCCCCCTCAAAAATAAATAAACATTTACAAAATGTTTTTGAAAAACACTCCTTTTTTTCTTAATCTAGCTGACATTGTCTTCTCTTACTTGGAACCAGAGTCTTAAAACAATAATGATGGAAACCAAGCCCTGATTATCAAGGCCTCTCATCCTGTCCTCTCCCATGATCCAATATCCTGAATTATAACTTTCCTACCAAAGGGCTCAGAGCCCATTTCTCAAGGATCATTAGATTTCAGGCAACTGGAGAGACAAATGCACACAGGAAGAATCATCTACCTCGTTGTGGCAGATGGAGGCTACCATAGAACTTTATTATGCTGTCCTTTCAGAATCCCTGTCACTGGTGAAATTCACTGAAAGAGAACACCAGTATATATTAAAGTGTGAAATTAGGCATTTCAGTGAAATACTGTTTGTATGACTCACCAATACCCTCATACGTCAACTTCAATTTTTTTTTAATGTTTATTTATTTTTGAGACAGAGGGAGACAGAGCACGAGTGGGGGAGGGGCAGAGAGAGAGGGAGACACAGAATCCAAAGCAGGCTCCAGGCTCCGAGCTGTCAGCACAGAGCCTGACGCGGGGCTCGAACCCATGAACCGTGAGATCATGACCTGAGCCGAAGTCGGACGCTTAACCGACTGAGCTGCCCAGGCGCCCCTTTTGAACGTCAACTTAAATGAATGGCTTATAAAGTGTCATCAAGAGGTCACTATGGGTCCTGTACCAATGAATAGAAGAGGATGCCTCGTTATTAGTTGTTAATGTTTGCAGGTTGGGGTGGGGGGTGATACTCAAATTCTTCAAAGGTACTTTGTTACTTTTAGGTAGGCCAAAAATCTCCAGGTCAGTCTTCTCAGTCCAATTAATTATCATAGCAAGAGCAATTTTCCTTGGCTCTTCCTACCTCAGGGCCTTTGTATCTGCCATTCCTACTGCCTGGAGAGCTTCTCCCGCTCCAGCCCACCACCCGTCTTCATGCTTCCCTCCTCTGGCCCTCTTCATGCATAGGCCTCAGCTTAATGTCCTCTCCCTCCAAGAGCCCCCCTCTACCCCACCTTCTCTAAATACATGTGCCTTCTCCTTCCTGCTCGTCCCATTTCTATTTTTTATTTCCTTCGTCTCTACTCCAGTTACATTTTAATCAACTTTTATTGATGCACAATTTACTATATATAATATAATGCATCTATTTTAAGCACACAGTTTGGTGAGTTTTGGTAAATGTGGGCACCATCACCACATCCAGGGCTCCCCCATCACCCCAAAGGTTCCCTTGTGCCCCTTCCCTAGCATTCCCCACCCCTGGGTCCCAAGCAACCACTGACCTGATTTCTCTCTCTACAGTCTTTTTCAGGTTTTTATATACATGGAATCGTTTAGTACATATTCTTTTGAATCTGGCTTCTTTCAGCGTGACATTTTTGAGATTCATCCAGGCTGTTGGTGTCTCAGGAGTTTGTTCTTTTTTACTGCTGCTCCATGATATGGAAATACCTTATTTTGTTTATGCATTCGCCAGCTGGTGGACATTTGGGTCACTTACACTTGTTGGCTATCTTGAATAAAACTGCTCTGAAATGTGTGTTCATGTCTCTCTGGGGACATATGATCTCATCTGTAGGAACGGGTCAAATGGTAAATGTTTGCTGAACTTTGTAAGAAAATTTCCTTCATTTCTTCTTTGCCATAGTTCCCTTCAAGGGACTCAAACCTTTTTATTATTTTTTTAATGTTTATTTTATTTTTGAGAGAGAGAGAGAGTGTGAGCAGGGGAGAGACAGAGGGAGAGGGAGACACAGAATCCAGAGCAGGCTCCAGACTCTGAACTGTCAGCATAGAGCCCAACGCGGGGCTCGAACTCACAAAAACCGCGAGATCATGACCTGAACCAAAGTCCAAAACCTTTTTTATTGTATACTTGTTTGTTTTCTCCTCTCACACCCATCTCTCCACTAGACTGCAATTGCATGATGCAGGGACCCTGGGTCATTGGTTTGTCACTGTGCCCAAAGGGCCTAGCACAGGGCTCTTCATGAATATTTTTGATTGAGTCTATGTCTGAATAAAATAGAAATCATATTGTCCCCTGCCTGAAATGTCTTCAAATCAAAGGGCTCCCAATGAATGAAACCTTAACTATAAGCCCGAAGGAATCTAAAACACCCTATCAGTACGGAATGACAAGGTATGCATAGTGACCTAACTCTCTTGGAGACTGCAGAGATTGGAGCAGCTGGGGTTCTGGGAAGCCAGTGAATCAACCTGACAGACCCAAAGAGCCACCGAGCTCCTGTCATGTGCACAACTATCATGTGGCACTGGGGCTGGCCCTAAGTGTGGCCAGAGAAGGCAGCTGCCTGTTCGGTTCAAGGTAAGGACACTTCCCTCCCGTAGGAAGAGGAATGCATTATCTGATTGGTAAATTTGAAACCAGGAACCGAGCGTGGTTCCTACGCTCGGTTGGCTGGGCCCTAACTCCCGCCCCTGCGGGTGTCAGGGGGCTTGTGGGGCGTGTGCTTTCTGGTCTCCATCTGCCACCGCGTAAGGGCCTACCCTTGTGGGGACTGAGGGGAGGCCTGCAGTATCCAGAACCACCATGAACAGGTAGACAAGACCGTCAAATTCAAGGCTTAAAGCACTTAGCTACAGACCTAAAACCATATTCTCCAACCAGCTTCAAAAGTTTAAAAACTTCTGAAGTTTTTCTGATCACTGACTCCTATCTGTCTCCCAGAGAAGCACAGATAGGTATGGTCCTTTGGGCCCGTAAACTTCAACGCTCTCTGTTCTTTCTACTGTTTCTGGGGCTTACCCAGAGGTAAAAACAGCTGGGTTGTAAACACCTTGAGAGAAGGAGCCATGACTTTATCATTTTTCTATACTCTCCCCTACCCAATAGATATGTAGCTGGCAAACAGCAGGCCATCAAATGTAAAAGGAGAACTCCTGATAAGGTATTGAAGTAGGCTGTGAAACGGCACCACGCTGCTCTAAAGCACCTGATGCCAGTTAACTGCCCAGGAGCCAGCTTGATAAGCTGCAGACTAGTCATGGTGGAAGAATTCCTCAAAACAAACAGGCTTCTGAGACAGTAGTTCTCAGTCCAGACTACACCCAAGAATCACCTGGGGAACTTTGCCGGGGGTGGGGGGGAAAGAAAGCCAGGCCACATCCCGGGCACATGAAGTTAGTTGGCCTCTCTGGGGGTGGGACCCAGGCATCCGTAGTTTTTCATTCCCTGGCTGAGTTTTCTAGGCTGGCCTTGCTTTGGCATAATTAGTAGTTTGTAGCAAATGCAGAATCTCTGGCCCCACTCCAGACCCACCTAAAATCTGCAATTTTAGCAAAAGCCCCAGGTGATTCATGTATGTATTAAAGTTTGGGAAGCACGAGTTTAGAATACAGGCTTTGGAGTGAGTCAGACCTCGTTTTTGTTTTGTTTTGTTTGAGAGAGAAGGCATGAGAGAACAAGGGGCAGACAGAGAGAGAGAGAGAGAGAGAGAGAGAGAGAGAAGCAGGGCTTGAGCTCAACCAATGTGGGACTCGAACTCGTGAACCATGAAATCACGACCTGAGCCAAAGTCAGATAGACACTTCACAACTGAGCCACCCAGGCACCCCAGCCAGACCTTGGTTCTAATTCTACAGGTGCCAGCTGAGGGATTTGGGGCAAGCTGCTTAACCTAGCTAACCTCAGTTGAATAACCAATGGCAGGTACACACAATGGAACACTATGCAGCCATCAAAAGGAATTGTAACATCTCGAGATGCA